GAAGAAGAAGAAGAAGAAGAAGAAGAAGAAGAAGAAGAAGAAGAAGAAGAAGAAGAAGAAGAAGAGATTGGATTTATACCCCGCCCTTCACTTGGAGTCTCAGAGCGGCTTACAAATTCCGTTCCCTTCCCCTCCCCACAACAGACACCCTGTGAGGTGGATGGGGCTGAGAGAACTCTGACACAAACAGTGGGGAATCAAACCCGGTTCTCCCAGATTAGAGTCCGCACACTTAACCACTACACCAAACTGGCTCTCACAGGCAACAGGAAAGAGAGGATAGATTCATGTGGGTAGCTGTGTTGGTCTGAAGCAGCAGAACAAAGTGAGTCCAGTGGCACCTTTAAGACCAACAAGGTTTTATTCTGTACACATGCTTTTGTGTGCATGAAAACTTCTTCAGATACATTGAAACAGAAGTCACCAACCATTACATATAGATAGAGAGTGGGGAGGGTTTTGTCAGGAAGGGCTGATTAGAGTCAAGATGCATAAGAAACTGAGCAATAGATATAGCTAAGATTGGATTAAGGCAGCTTGTAAAACCTGTGAATAGCAGCAAATTAGCATACAACACGATAAGAGAGTTTACAAACAGGTGTGAGAACTGAATGATGTTATCCTGTGTAGTGAGATAAGAAACTGATATCTCTGTTAAGTTGTGGGGGTTTCAATGTCCTTAGCGTTGTGATAACTTGTAACTCGGCAATCTCCCGGTCTAGTCTGTTTCTGAAATTCATTTGCAATAAAACAGCTACTTTAAGGTCCCCCATTGAATGTTCTGGGAGGTTGAAGTGTTCTTCTACAGGTTTCTCAGTTTTGTGGTTCTTGATGTCAGATTTGTGTCCATTTATCCTTTGACATAGGGGTTGACCTGTTTGCCCTATGTAGAGAACTGAAGAGCATTGTTGGCATTGAATGGCTTATACAATGTTAGAAGATGAGCCGATGAATGAGCCTGAGATGGTGTGGTTGATGGTGTTAGGTCCAGTGACTGTGTCATCTGGGTGTATGTGAGAGAGGAGATAACAGATGGGGATGCAGATCTGTGCAAGTGCAGAGAGAAGCTTTGGAGCAAACAGATAAAAGGTAGAAGGGTTAACAGAGACTTCATGGCAGAGAGCAATGGGGTGCATTGTGGATGGAAGAAAAATGAAACACTGAACTGAAATGATAACAAAATGCTTTGCCACATTTAACGTACCAATGCAGCCCTCTTGAATCCATGGGACCTCCAAGTGACTTGAGTTGTGTATCCATTTTAGTAATGACTTCCCTGCAAATGAGTGGATAAAACTTCTTCCTGTGATATTCTCTAGTGTAAACGGAGTGCAGTATGAGTCACGGAGGGTTGGGATGGGCCTTGGAAGTCATCTAGTCCAACCTTGCTGGAGTATACAAATACAGCATCACCAATAGATGGCTATCTAGCCACGGCTTATAGACTTCCACTGAAGGAGAGGACCCCCCACCCGCCACCCTTCTGGGAGTCTGTTACATTGTTGAACAGCTCTTACCTTGAGGAAGTTTCTCTGAATATTTAGTCAAATGTGATGCTTTGTAATTTACTTGGAAGAAAATTCAGTGAGTGACTAACATAACATAACTTCTGTCACTCTTTTTTCTTTTCCAAGGCAGGAGGAACTTGAGATGGTTATCAGTTGAGTGATATGTGGTGATTCATTAACAGTACTTTGGGATAACTACAGACCCATTGAACACAGAAGTCTTCAGGCTAGTTTAATGAAACTCATAGGGTGAAGGCTAATTCAGTCTTTTCTTAGGCTCTGATCATATTTACAAGGTCAGCAGTAAGCATGATTTGGTAGTAACCATCAGAACTGAAGAGCATTGTTGGTCATGACCCATATACCTAGATCATGACCCACTATTGTAACTGAAAGCCTTCCAAAAATGGCCTGAGAAGTCTGTTGTAACCTGTGATTTGGTCATGTGTTCCAGCCATCAGATGTCTTCTTTCCTGAGGATTCAGTTCACACCACTGAGTCAGTAAGTTTAGAACCTCACCATGCTAAAATGGTTTGGCTGAGAGTCAAGCAACTCCAGGTAATCTTTATGGTCCTCCACAGCTGTTGGAGCAAATAGTTTTGCTGCATTCATCAAAGGGATCAAGAGCTGCAATTTCTGCACAACCATTCTGACGTCATATTTCCACTGTAGTATTCACAGGGTAAAAAAGGTCTTGGGAAAGCAGGCCCATGGAACAAGATGCAGGTTATCACATCCTTAATAATGCTTATCAGTTAGACATTGAAATATGTTGAGGTTTTTTTTATATATTAATCCAAGATTGTAAATGTAACATCTCTTTTGTAACCTCTGCCAGGGTCTTTGGGCTTGATATTGAAGGACGGGACTGTGGGGATGATGTGGCACGCTGGCTCACGGCTTTCTTGAAGTCAGAACCGTATCGGCTGGTGCACTTTGAGACTCAGATGGCACCAAGGAAATGCAGTGAGATTAAGATTCCTTTTCGAACTACAGATAAGGTTTGGCAGATATTTTTCACTGTGACCGTTATGTTTACTACTTCACTTAAAAACAAAATATTGTCACATTTTAAGAACTGAACTAGTAGCTGGTAGCTGGACTTCGTAACAGATTTCAGTTAGATGTAAAACCAGGAAGTCACAGTACATAGGGAAGCAGAGAACAATGGTGAAATAGTTATATTCATTTCAAAAAGTGTTCCTACACAAATATCCTTGAACTACCTGGGCACCTTCCCCCACACTTCCCATTCAGCACAGCAGCACTAAAGCCGCTTTGCAAAAAGTAGCCCCGTTTGGATGACCCCTCTGAAGATGATGGCGTGACCTGGATAGGCCAGGCCAGCCTGATCTTATCAGATCTTGGAAGCAAGTGGGATCAATCCTGGTGAGTTTGTGGATGGGAGACCACCAAGGGAAGTCAGGGTTGCTACGCACAAGCAAGCAATACAAATCATCTCTGATGGGGTCGCCGGAAGTCGGCTGCAATTTGACAGCAAAATAGAAAAAGAAGATGCAAATATTTCCATCTAGAAATCACAGAGTTGAGGGGTTTTCTCTTACCATGGAGTGGTAATGGCAGGGCAGAGAGACAGAATAGCAAAATTCTTCAGCCACTTGGACAGTAAATTGTTCCCAACTCAGGTATTGCCGTGGAAGCTTTTATTGGGTTCTGATTTCACACCCTCAGGTGAGGAACAAATTCTGAACAAAATAGTCATCCCCTGTAGCTAGCAGTCTTTTGCCAGAGAGCCTCTTTGCCTGGGAATTCTGACAGGAGGCTCGCTCAGGTCCCTTTCAACTCCATCTCTTCTTTACTGCCGGCAACATGCATTCCTTTGTGTTCCTCCCTGCTTTTATTCGCTCTGCTATCAGGGCACCTGCACTCCTTCTGGCACTTTCTTGGCCTCATTTGGCCACATTAATACTCTAGACTTTGCTTTTAAAGTTAAAGTCCCGTCTCAACAATTTTCTAAACAAGAGTGGAAATTGTACAAGGCTCACTTGAAATGCTTGGGATTTCTGAAATAAACTATATCTAGCCAATTGAAATGGAGGGGATAATTGAATCTGTCGGGTTGCCAACTGGCCTGGAGAAAAATGTCCTGTTCTTTTAATAGAGGCTTAATGTGTACAAATAGGCAGATGGAATTTTTCGTGGCATGGAGGTAGATAACATTGCCGCCTCTATGAAAGGGACAGGCCATTTTTCTCCAGACTGTTTGGCTACACTGACCTGTATGGCTATTCCTTTGTGTTCCTCCCTGCTTTTATTCACTCTGCTATCAGGAGGGCACTTGCACTCCTTCTGGCACTTACTTAGCCTCATTTGGCCACATTCATACTCTAGACTTTGCTTCTAAAGTTAAAGTCCCGTCTCAACAATTTTCTAAACAAGAGTGGAAATTGTACAAGGCTCACTTGAAATGCTTGGGATTTCTGAAATAAACTATATCTAGCCAATTGAAATGGAGGGGATAATTGAATCTGTCGGGTTGCCAACTGGCCTGGAGAAAAAAGTTCCGTTGTTCCTTTAATAGAGGCTTAATGTGTACAAATAGGCAGATGGAATTTTTCGTGGCATGGAGGTAGATAACATTGCCGCCTCTATGAAAGGGACAGGCCATTTTTCTCCAGACTGTTTGGCTACACTGACCTGTATGGCTCAGACAAGCCTGATCTCAGAAGCTAAGCAGGGTCAACCCTGATTAGTGCTTGGATGGGAGACCATCACGGACGTCCAGGGGTGCTAGCAGAGCACTTCTGTTTATTTCCTGCTTTGAGAATTCTATGGAGTTGCCATAAGTTGCTTGCAACTTGGCAGAACTTTACACATACATGCAGATCTACAGATAACCTTTCAAAGCATGCTTATTAGATAAGGCATTATAAATTTACTGAAGTCTTGCAGACTCAGAGGTTAGAAGAAGTCAGAGCTTGTGGGACTGTGCAAATCTAGTAAAAAGGGAAGGCAGCTTTTCAAAGAAAACAAACTCATGGAATGCCTTAAGCATGAGGAACACTTGAGAGATGTACTTGCAGGCTACTAATAAGTGCATTCCTTCATACAAACCCATGGACACCCTAAGCATAAGGAATACTTAAGAGGTATACTTGCAGGCTACTAAAGTGTATTCTTGCAGACACGTGTGATCCGATTTCTGAATTTTTTGCACCATAGGTTCCCTACAATGACGCTGGTCCTCTTCTGGTCATCTCAGAATCTTCAATGGAAGACTTAAGTACTAGAATGGAGACGAAAGTGGATATGCGTAATTTTAGACCAAGTATTACAGTTTCTGGCTGCAGTGCTTACGAAGAGGTAAACCTTTCTTGGAGCTACTAAAATTCATCTGAAATCTTTAAAAAAGAAATCCTTTCTTGAGGGCATTTGGAAATCACTTGAGCTGAATCTTAGAAACTGCTTTCCCGGATGTGGTCAGTTAGCAAGTAACAGGATTTTTATCTGAATAAGTTTTATAGCATGTGCAGGCCTGGATAAAGCAACCACTTTTGTTCACAAGTATCTTTTAAGAGGCAGTGACTTTGGACAAGCAGAATGATGGTGACAAAGAATGAGCATGGGAAATGTCGGACTAATTGTACCAGTGAGAGCTTTGTCTGCTCGTTTTCAAGCTCTCAGAAAGGAGGAGTCTGAAAGAAAAAAACGTCTGCATGTTGCAGGACGTTGGCCGTTCAATAAGCCTCTCTCTTTTAGGGCTTGCATCTTTTCCTTTGCTCATGTGCACATTACATTTGGTCACTACTTGATGCATTATAGTTGGCATATCCACAACTAGTAGCATTGTCAGCAGGTTATTAGCTGGAAGAAAGAGAGACAACAGGAGGGAAGGGCTATTGCTTTCCCTCTTATCATAGCTAAGAGTCAGAACACATGTTATATTTCCATATGGTTGCCTCCAAAAATGAGATCCATGTTCTTCCATCCTCTGCACTGTTTAGGCTGCAAGTGTTCATCCTCTTTACTAGGAAAAGCTTTGCAAATGCTCTGTTTTTGCATTCTGGCAGTATAATTTCACCTCACTTGACCTTGACATTCCTGAAAGAATTTCTTGTCATGGACATGTTATCTTTGAAATGCCATGGTCAGGATGAATCAGGATTTTCCAGGGCAACATAGTAGAAAACATCCAGCCAAGAAATTGCACAAAGTTACTTCTGTTTTGCACATGTTTATTCAAAGCTCCTGATATTAGTCTCTGGAAGGTGCCATAATAATGAAGGAGATGAATGCAACAGAGAAACAGGGTTTGTTTGCTCATGTATCACACCTCATTCCTTACAGAGATGGAAGACTGTTGTTTTCTTTAGGGGCAAGTTACCGTTTCATCAGCCCCTTGAGCAGGAAATTAAGATAGTGACCTATTCCAATGCGGGGCTATAGGCAGCTGAGCTAGATTGGGTCCAGGTCTGGTAGACTGGATTAGCTCAACTACAGGAATTGTTTCCCACACAAAAAGGTATAGAATGAGGCCTGTCAGGAAACGGTCATTTAGAATCAGGTCTTACTATGTCTTCTATGAACATACGCAAAGATGCCTTAGACTAAAACAGACTGTTGGTCTATCAAAGGACCCCTATAGCTAGGAAGTTTTCTGGGGGGGTGGGAGATCAAGAGTGGGGAGCTTAATTAGATTAATGACTAATCTGCTTAGTGGTAATTTAATTAAGAGCCAGCAGGGTGATGAATTGCTATTGGTATTAAAATACATTTCTAGTTTCAGTGTCTTCTGACATTCATGCCAGGGTTTATTCTAATCTTTTTTCCTATTGCACAAGAAGGCAGTACTAGCACAAAGTCAGCAATCCTGTGAGCACTTCCTAAATTTGTTCTGACTGCAAACAAAATGAAAAAGAGGGAAGAGGGAATAAAAATAATCAGAGAAATTAAGAGAAAGAGATTGACAGGAAAGAGGAAAGAATAGGAAAATAAGAGGAGAAACAGAAAGAATATCTTTATTATATAAATGATTGTTGAGGACAGAGAGTTCCTGTAAAACTTAGAACACACTCCCCTGACTATTATTGTGTGTTCTGTATGGTGTACTAGGAATAGAAAGTTCTAAAGCTGTCACAAAATATAGAGTCTTCACAAAATGGTCGCTCAGCATTGTCCTTATTTACTTTTATCTGCATTATCTGCTGTAAGGGCTTCAGAGGAATAGGTTTAAGCAGACCTATCAAAATCATCTATTGGGGATATTGTAGTTGTGGACTGCCTGTACTGGCAGTGGGTAACTTGGACTAGATGATCTTGGAGAGCCCTTCTCTAACCTTATGATTCTCTAGGTGCAACAGGGAGCACAGATCTAATTTTTATCTTACATGATAAAACATTTGGAAATAAATCTACTAGAACTGGTGGAGAGCATTTTAGAAATCAGGTACTTTACAGAATGGAAAGAGACTGTTAGAAGACTGTGAATCAGCCCCGTAGCTAACCTTTTTCTCGGGGGGCCAGTGTTTTCCTTGGGGGGCCTGCCATGCAGCCTGCTGTGGCGTAATCCATTTACTGCCTCACTCTCTGGCCGCAACCCCCATACTTACCCCCACCCCAGGGCAGCCTCGGCAGTCGCCGCCGCTGCCACCTGCCACTCATCTTACCTTCCTGCTCTCTGGTCCCAGAGGAGGAGCCAAAGAGCCCATCGGCTGGCTCAGCTACCCCGTGATGACTCTATCAAGGCCTGACATCAGAGGGATGAAAGAAGAAGAACGTCCTTTGTTGATGGGCATGGTGATAATTATTCTCTTATTGTTTAGGAAACACATTTAATAAGCAAGGAACGTCCCTGCCTGTTGCAAGGCAAAAGCGGCTAATCGCTTCCCTTCTGGTTCGGGATGTCTTCAAGCGTCGGTGTCCTGGCGGGGGGTGGGGGGAGAACTGGATCCGGTTCAAAAAAGAAACTAAAGGGCTGCTGTCCCAATCCCTTAATGAATGGGGACGAAAAGGAGTGGGCCTATTCTTAACGTGAAAAGAAAAACTTTGACTTAAGATAACAATAATTATGATATATGGTCGTTGTGTAGCTGTAATTTTAGTGTGTAGTTTGTTAGGTTGTATGTAGAAAAAAAAAGGATATATAAAAAATGAATCAGCCACTAGAGGGAGCAAAACACATGCAGAAACACACACACACACACACACACCTGAATCAATAGGGACAAAAATGAGAATGCAGAAGAGCCCATCAGTTTGATCTGGACGGAGTCTGCAGTAAGCAGTCTGTGCAGTCACAGTAAGTTTAATGGTGAGACACAGCTATTTCAAAGCCCTTAACACGAACAGGCTCCTGCCTATACCTTTCGTTTTTTCATTATGTATACTCCCTGTATACCATGTGCAAGGTACTATTGTTAATCGATTCTGTGTATTAATACGGGTAATAGCTAATACCAGTGTATTCCTCCAGGCCCCCATCACCAGCACTGAGGTTCAGTGGCTCCAGTCTGTCTGGAACACGCATGTTCGAAAACATGTAGAGCAGGCCTGTGATTTATATATAAAAAGGAACTCTTTCCACTCTTTCTCTCCCCACCCCCACCCCCCTCTGTGGCAGGGACAGAAGGACCGAGGTATATGTCTGTGTGGTACTGCGGGGAGGGGTGGAGAGAGAAAGACCAGAGCCAAGCCAAGCCTGCTCCGCCCCCCAGCTGGTCTCCAGCAGCAGAGGCTGGGGAGGGGGAGATAGGAGGGTGCCTCCTCCTCCTCACGGGAGCCCGGCTGGCCATGGCAGAAAGGGAGGCAGGCAGGCGCCTAGGAGGGAGGTGCAATGGGCGGCTGGTATCCCTGCTCAGCAGCCCTTCACTCTGACCTCCCAGCAGCAGCAAGGATGGCCCGGGCAGGAGCAGGTGGTGCGGAGTCATGGGCTGAGGGCAGCGATGGTGGGGAAAGGCAAGGATTGGGGAGGGGCCTGTTAAAATCACAGGGGGGGGGAGGCCCCATGGGCCCTGCATTAGCTATGGGCCTGCTGTGAATGCAAACAATTAAACTTGTGTCTTATTAACAATGCTTGAAATGCACAGTCCCCAGGTGGGGACGGGGATCCCCCAGTTTCGCAGGCTCCTGCTCATGGGGGAAGCCCCACCCACAGCAGCGATTACTTGTGGCCACCTCTCTTCCTCCCCCCTGTGAGTTTTAAAGGGCCCTCCAGCTGATCAGCAGGAGCACATGGCCCACCAATCAGCTGGAGGGCCCTTTAAATCTTGCAGGAGGGGAGGGATGGGGCGGTTGCTGGCCGCATACCTAAACTCCAGGTGGTGAATTTGCCACTTGGAGTTCAGGCATGGGCAGCCATTTGAGGGGAAGGTTCCCTTTAAATGGCTTTTTGCAAGCGGGGGCCGCCTGTGCCTGAGATCGCTGCTTGGAGAGTTCAGGCATACGTGGTGCCCTGCCCCACTCGCAAAACCATTTGAAGGGAAGCTTCCCTTTAAATGATTTTTTGCAAACAGGGCCGCCCGCACCTGAATTCCAAGCAGCGAATTCGTTGCTTGGATTTCAGGCTTGCGCGGTGCCTGTTTGCAAAAACCATTTAAAGTTAAATGGTTTTTGCAAGTGGGCGCCACTGGCACCTTCTAAGCAGGTGCATCCCCAATGTGATGACGTCACTATGTGTGACATCATTGTGTCGTGGACGTCCCCTCCCCCTCCTGGAGTGTCCCCTGAAGCCCCCCACCGGTGACAAGGTAGGATCTGGCAACCCTAATCGTGGCTCCAATATTCTCTGTGTCCACACTCAGTTTGTAAGGACTGGCAGTCTGCTGGGCTGGGCCTGGCTGGGTTGGGGCCTAATCTCAGTCTCTCTGAGAGATGTTGAACCCCAGTTATATAATATGAGCGATCTGAAGGAGGTGGAACAAAACAAGTACTGAAAAACTGGAATAACAGCGATGCAAAGGAGCCTGGAAATTGTAGCATGAGACAGTAGAGACCCGTGCCCTCTACTGCTGTCCTTGCTGTTGTACTTGAGACAAGATAGAAGAGTAAGAGTTGGAAGCAGAGTACAAGATGCCTACACAAACAGCTGGTAATATAGTAGGACTGTTCTGCATAGAGGTGCTTGCTGAGAGAGACTTGAATGTACTGGGCCACCCAGACAACATTCCGCTAAAGGGCTGAGAAAGAAGAAATCTGTTGAAGGGCTGCTAAGAAGAACTGTAGGTGGTGGAGACGGTAGTTGGTTACTAGAGTGACGCCCAGTATTCATTAAACAACTTTGCCTTTGAAAAGTGTCTTCTGCTAACTAGGGCTCATTGTGTGTCCATAAGGGTACAGATAGACAGAAGGGAGGGAAAAACACAGTAGTTCTGCCTTCCTTTAACCCACTTGGTCAGTCAGTTGTATATCCTTCCTACCTAAAATCTCTTTTTGGTGCCAGTTGTACTAGGGATGTGCATTTGGTTCGTCCGAACCGAATGCACCCCTGAAAATGGTCCATTCAGAGTCCTTTCGGGCTGCTGCAGGCCGATCCAGATTCTCTTATCTGAATCGGCTTGCCACCAAATTGCAGCCAAATTTCGGCAGCAATTCGGCCCCATTATATCCTATGGGCCATTGAAGTCAATGTCGAAAACATAGGGTATATTCTGGGGGCTGGAGGGGAGGGGGTTTGAGGGAGAGGCTCTAAACCCGCGGGGTAGCTGCTGGAGCCTCTCCCCAAGATACCAACCAAGTATGAAGAACATTGGACCAGGGGGTCCAATTCTACGGGCCCCCAAACAGGTTGCCCCTATTCCCTCCATTGTTTTCTATGGTGGGGAAAACGTAATTAGAATAAACCCTGATTCATGCTGAGATGGCTCATTTTAGTGCTGCAGCATGCCTTAATGCATAGTTAACTACTTCAGAGGGGAATTATTGCCATCTTGTGGTGAGGTGTGCAACAACAAACAGCTTGGAATCCAAGTCCAAGCAGCCTACCTAGAAGCAGGAGAATGAGATGATTGTATTGCATTTTTATGTGTTGTGATCAGTTTAGGGATAAAGCAGTATTTCAACATCTTTGTTACTGTGGCAAAAAAGAACAAGGAATAGTGAGTATATAGTGAAAACACTTCCAGACATGACATGATTGTAGAAGTGTGGAGATTTACAGTCAAAACTACTTGGAATCAGTTTATGACATTTAGCCTCTCCAGTCTCTCTTGCCTGCCCGAGCGCATGAAGCTGCCTTTTACTAAGTCAGACAGTTGCTCTGTTCAAGGTGGCAGTGGCTGTCCATGTTCTCAGGTAGAGGTCTTTTACAGCATCTACTGCCTGGTGCTTTTTAACTGGCAACCCTGTGGACTGAGCTTGAGATCTTCGGTACGTAAAGCACTAAGTAATGGCTCCTCTTAGACAGATTCATAGCCACTAGGGAGTCCAACTAGCCACTAGGCATGATGACTCAAGCAAACCTCCACATTCAGAGGCAGTCAGCCTCTGAATAGCAATGCAAGAAGGCAACATCAGGAGGAAGCCTTGACTTCTGTCCCCTTCTGAGGATGAAATGAGGGACAGGGCAACAATTCAACCCACTGGGGAGAAATGAGGGGTATGACATTTGTTATAAATATAATTTTGCATACAGTTCACCAAAAAGGGATAATCACTCTTGCTTTTATTTCATCCAGTATTGCTGCAACTCTTTCAGTAATCAGTATATATTCAATATTCAAACGATCACTAAATATGAGCGCAGTGAGCTACAGTGTTGGCAAGCAGTGTGTGTGGGACAGGCAGTGATGATGCACTGTAAGATGTCAAGACAGTAAAAGAAGTCAGGTTTAATAGGAAAGTAAGTATTTGGTATATGTCTATTTCGACAAAATTTCTGTTCCCCTCCTCTCAAAAATGGGGAAAAACATTTTTTCCTGTGGCTTCAAAATTTCTGGAAAGCTATCATCTCTATTCTCATGTGCACCAAACATTTAGAGAATGTAAAGGCCTAGCTGGTGTTCAGTGGCCTTTACAGGACCATTTTAAAGGTGGAAGATTCACCACACGATAACCTTCCACCTCAATTCTCATGTGGTACTAGCTTTGTGGAAGAGGCCCCACATGATGAAATGGCAAATTATCACAACTTAAGTAAAACTTGTCAGATAAGGGTGTTTTTACATGGCTGCTGTTAAACGCGACAACTGAAGGTCACCTTATGGCATCATGTGAATTGGCCCAAATAAGGTGATCACAGCCTTTCTAGCTCAGAAGAAGGTCCATTTAGTAAACTTACCTTTCTTTATTTAAAGTTTATTTGTTTATGAGATTTATATCCCACCTTTCAGCTCAACCAGAGCTCTTTCTTTGAAAGAGGATGTGGAAGAAAGAGACTATTCCAGTCCACTCTGTCTTACGTTCCCATCCTGTGATTTACCTGTATTTTTCTCCATCACCTGAGGAAATACAAATCTTCCCTGTATTTATTTATATGAAATGTATTTGTTTAAGATATTTGCATCTTGTTGTCCTTCTGATCAGAAGCACTCAAAATATTCAGGGATTGCATGCTAATAAATGGGAAATCATGTCTCCTTAGCTATTGTTAAAATCCATCTAAATTATTCCGTGTTCCCTAGGACACCTGGGACAAGGTTGTAATTGGTGACGTGGAGATGAAACATGTGATGGCGTGTGGCAGGTGAGTTTGTTGTAGGGGGCAAGAAAAATCATGGTAGTTTAGCTTAGTTTGGTGATGGAAAGTGTTAAGTCTCAGCCAACTTGTGGCGACCCCTTACAATCTTTGAGGCAAGAGATGAACAGGCCATTGCCTGACTCTGTGTAGCAACCCTGAACTCCCTTGATGGTCTCCTGCCCAAGCACTGACTGGGCCAATCCTGCTTAGCTTCTGAGAGGTGACAAGATCAGGCTAGCCTGGGCCATGTGGGTCAGGCCTTAGCTTAGCTTAGAGTGCGGTCACACGTGCCAGATAATGCGGGGGGGGGGGGGAAGCGAGGCTATTTGCTCTGTAGTAATTTGACCCACCACTGCATGATCAGACACAACGGAGGGTGAATCGGGTTTTTTCCCCCTTCACCACGTGTTTCTGGTGCACTTCAACGAGAGATCACTGACGCAATGGGAGCGCGCTGGAGCGATCACACAGGGAAGTCCGTCTGCGGCCCGTCGCAAACGCATTTGATACTGCACTTTCCCTGGTATTTTTTAACTCCACTTCTTCGGCAGAGTGAAACGAGTTGCCAACGGGTGTGGGGTGCTTGCCAGATGTTCCTGTGTGACCGCGCCCTTAAAATCTGCCCAGCATTCGTGCCTATCGCGCGGCTAATTCTGCGAGTGATTGGGACCTTAGTTATTCATATTTTCTACAAACGTCATGTTTGTTTTTCAGATGTATTCTGACAACTGTTGACCCAGATACTGGAATCATAGACAGAAAAGAGCCACTGGAAACACTCAAAAGGTAAAACAACAATGATCTTTAGCAATTCTGTGCTTAGGATAGGGTAAATATAATGTTGATGGCTGGACATGACATTGCTTTCTGAAACTAAGTAGGTTTTTAAACCTCTAAAGTGTAGCCTGTATATTTCTAAATAATGTCCAGCACTTGTTTCTGTCTTCCTAGTTACGCATGTTGCTATGCATATTTACACTGTACTCTAGAGGACAGTATTCTTCACACTGTTGCGTAAGTACTTGGTTTACAGAACTGGCACAGTGATCCCAAGTAAACAAGGTGGAAGTCAGTTCCAACAGAATTCATTGAGATTTCACCACACGGACAAGTTGATGGCCTTGGAGTCAGAATGAATGAATTTACAGTTAATAAATAAATTCTTTTTCATTGCACTTCGTTGCATTGCGTTTCATACTAAACTGATAGAGATTAGAAATCCCTGTTTCACCTGCAACGATGCTCTGAAAAGATGTGAGGAAAACTCATCTTCTAAAACAATTTCTGATGGGAAGTAGTTAGGGAGAGTTGAGATCTAAATAATTTGCTTGAGGTGATCTTGGATGTATGCTGTTGTTGATCCTGGTTCTTTTTTAAACATGTCCAGGTCTTTCATCCAAATGGTAGGGGATAGCATAGGTCACTTTGACCTGCATCTAAATACCTTGATCCAAAATTATAATGCTGGTTATGACTACAGCCTTGTTAGAATCAGCACTGGACTTCCTACAACTCTAACTTCAATGAGGTTGTGAAATACTTTGGTATAATATGTGAGGACTCCATGCTGGCACTGTTTCAGGTTGTACCCAAGATCTCAGTCACCTCAGAGACAGAATCCAGATCCTCCAGCTTGATCACCCATCGTTGCATGGCCACAACTCAGTCACAGTTTCTTGTAGTTTCTGTGGTTAGTTATTGGTACATGGCTGTTGCCCAGCCATCCTGCTGATTAACTGGAGTGGAGGCACGGCCTACTGCAGCAGTAAGCGATTTGTGCACAACTCTTTAGATTTCAGTGATGCAAGTGTGTTGATGTTTCATTGTTAGGGTAACTTTTGTGTTTTTAAAGTGTTGTGTCATCTGTCCCATGGAACCATTTTATAGATGGAAGGGTAGGATATTAAATGATCTCCTACATAATAGCTGCTGCCCGTTTGCTAGAAGTCTACCTTGCTAGACTACTGACTCTTCACACCCATCTCTATTATTGTGACTTGCCACGGGGCTGTTCCTGATTGTTTACAGAATTTTTATGCCAGCACTGACTATTGCTGGGGTACAGGACTCTTTTTGTAGAAAAAGCCCAGCAGGAACTCATTAGCATAATAGGCCACACCCAACAGCAGAAACTCATTAGCATATTAGGCCACACCCCTGACAGCACAGCTCATTAGCACATTAGGCCGCACCAAGTGTGGTTATCCAGCCACACCCACCTTTTGCTTGTTATTCTGTTTACCTTGTTTGTTGTCAAAACCCAGGGCTTTTTTGTAGCAGGAACTCCTTTGCATGTTAGGCCACACACCCCTAATGTAGCCAATCCTAATGGGTTCCTGCTGTTGGGTATGGCCTATTATGCTAATGAGTTCCTGCTGGGCATGGCCAACTTGGGAGCCAGCCGGAACTCCGTTCCTGTACGTTCCTGCCCCAAAATAGCCCTGGCTGGGGATATCCAGAGCTGGCAGAGAATTCTTCAAGTGATAGGAATTATCCACATGGCAAGTCATTCCAGACATTTAAGGCAGAGTGTAGAAGGGCGGCACTCAGAAGGATCCATGCAGGTTGATAAGGTAACATATAGACCAACCTCGGTGTTATCCACTGAACCGCAGTAGAGTATTTACTGCTGATTCTACTGCTATTAATAGTGCTGAGCATCAGCAGTTTCATTTAATATTGTGTAGTACATAGAATTAATGTAACTGAGACTTTGGTAGTATCATTGCAGTCTTGGTCAAGTCAGTCTGTTTTCCTGTGCTGACACAGATCGGATGGTTGTCCCACCAATTAATCAGTTTATGCTTCAGTTGGTTAATGGCTGTGGCTAACTTTGATGTTTCATTAATTTACTTACTTCACTTATAGTCTGCCTTTCTCACAAATATTCAAGGTGGATTACACTTTAAAACAATGCGGTCAGAGCTGCATAATTGCATACAATCAATAGTGCAGTAAAACAGAAATATTTTTAAAGTTTACAGTTATTATTAGGCTTTTCCTGTTTTGGGCCTGATGAATTATTGTAATAAGAAATGAATAGTAATGTATGTTTATCAAATTCCAATTTACCTTCCTCCAATATCTAAAAAAGGTTAGATTTTGTTAATATGCAAACATATTAAATTTTAATTCATTAAGCAGTGTTTAAAAGCAGATGATGAATCAGCTAATAATTGGGGGGGGAGGCATCAACAACCCTCACAATAAAATAGAGGATTTAACAGGTTACCTCTCTGTAATCTGACCTATCCTATAACAATGTTTATCTAAATGTGCTGTAATTACACTTGAAATTCTTATGCAGCAAAGTCAATACTCAGGAGTTTACAGAGCCTTTAAACTGTCATAAATATATAAATGTAAATATAAGCCCCTAAGAGGGAAACCGTAAATTTGGGTGAGAAAGGGTCTTCCATAACGATCTCAAGGGCTCATCTGGCAACTGGAAAGTGCCGTCTGTACCTGCGTGGGGAGAGTTGAACCTGTCAGGATACTAAATCTTTGCTGTGTAAATGGTGAAAAGAAAACAATTCTCCTAGCACTCTGTCTCTAAGATGTCCAAACAACAGTGGTGATCCCTGCCTCTGTCAGTTATTTGACAGCACGATGGCTTTGGAAAGAAATGTGGACAGAGAGGGCTGGAAAGCAGTTTTAACTCTTTCAGTTCCTTCACCACACCCTTACTTCAGCCACCTATAAGAACCTGACAACACATTGTTCCCCAAAGGCAGAAGGCTAGCTACATCATGTTTAGATTGTTTATAACAACTGCAGCCTTGGGACTTCTTCATATGAAATACCTTTATTCTCATGGCTGGTGAAATCAGCACACTTTCCCTTCTCTGTGTGAGATTGCTGGCTCCTGTTAGATCCATTGCAGTTGAAATGCTTGGCTTTAACTGCACTGAAGTCCCTGAGCTCAAGAAACCATCCCCCTCACACAACAACTTCAATCATTTCATAGTGGGAACCCAATGGAATAAGGTTGTCTAAAAGGTCTTAAAGCATCCTCTCTCACATACCACTGTGGACCAGCTACAATGTGTTAGTGTGCTGGAAATATGGTGGCTGGCAGGAGCAGTCTTGTGGGGCAGATTTTTGTCTGGTCAGTGCAGAAAGAAAGCCATTTAGCCAACAGAAAACTGTTACCGGGATAGATCTCTAAACTGCAAGCTGTGAAGCACTTTAGATGACAGTTCTCAGTTGCTGCAAGCCAATCACTTCTGCCAGCCTAAGCAACAATTCTGATAACAAGCTGGCAGGTGGGGGTGATGACCTCTATAGTCAAGAAAGCTAACAGGCAGAAAAACTCTCTTAAATGAGACCAGTTAGAAGGTATCCTAGAGGTCATCCACTCCAACCCCTTGCTCAGTGCAGGAATTAGTCAACTACAGCACCCCACTCTGCTTAAAGGGATGCACACCTTTTAAAAACTGTTTTAAAAAGATTGAAAAAAGCATTTACAGGAGAAATTCTTGTGGGGCTGTGCCTTTAAGAAAGGGGGCGGAGCCCACAGAAGCCCCACTGTAGCTACGGGCCTGGGCAGCAGAGTCCAATGAGTAGCTGGGTGCTTCCAGGCAAGCTGGTTCCCCTGGTCTCCCAACCACTTAGTGACTACAAGCTGCTGGGAGAAAGCTGGTCCTCTTAATCTGCTCTGTTTTACCATCTGTTTAACCAGCTTGTAGAACCAGTCTCATTATAGCGCTGCTTATGTGTGTCACTCTGCCATGATGTGGAGCCAGGGAACCTTGGTGTGTAAATGGTACAGTTTGGAATTTGACAGACTTTGGTCTTTCCAGCTCAGCTGTGAAATGAGCTGAGCGTGTTTATATTGTTCTTTTGCATGTATGAAGTTGCTTCATGTGTATTATTGCAGTAATTAGTACAATGGTCTTGTAAGGTAGGTTATTATCCCCAGTAGAGGAGAAGGACTGAAGCTTGCCTCAGGTTACCTAGAGAATTAATGGCTAAGCAAGATGAGAACTGGGGACCTCCCAACCTGCACGTTCAGTCATTACACAACAGCAGCCCTATTAAAAGAGACATATACTGATGGTTAGCTCAAAACCGCAGAAACTGTCTTAATGCCCAGTTTCCTGGGACTCTTGTTGCTTGCACAGCAGATCCAGCTCTCAGCTGGACAGTGGCACTTATAAAAGTGTATGAAGTTCCACAATGGCTAGAGTATTGGAGTCAGGTCAAATTACATGAAACATTTGATCTCCTGACGTTTCTATTTTTACTTTAAAGCAGATGCCTAAGGCTCTGATTGCGATCAAAGTAGTGAGCTCTTTTCCTCAGACCATTTTCCTGATCGAAAGCATTTCCCGAACCTGCTGTTAGCCCTGGGCTGTTTCTACACAGAGTTTTCTGTGTAGCTCTCATAGCCGCTGGGAATGCAGAGGCAGCGGCGCCATCAGTGGAGCAACCACTTGGGAGGTTTCACCAAACTTGGCATGCCTCAGCCTTCCATGGCGGTAGTTTCCCCCTCTGCCACTAGAGGGCTTTTTCATGCTTAAAAAAACCACAGTAACAGCTGTAGCATCTGTATTGTGCTTGCATATGAAAACTTATACTTGGTTGGTCTTAAAGGTGCCACTGGACTCAGACTTTGTTCAGTTGTAGCATTATACTGTTTTAACAATCTGTTGCATCAATGTATTAATTTCCAGCTTGCTTGTCCCCCCCCCCAGTAAGTCTCTGTCCCTTTCAGTAGAAGAGTTAATAAGGAGAGAAGTGGAGTTGTTACCTCCTTCCTGCTGCTGGTCAGGAGAGATTATTCCACAGAGGGCTGAGGTTTCCCTGTCCGGCTCCACCATTTAGCTAATCATGCTTGAAAAGGAGCTGCTTGCTCCTGCTGCCTTTGCTCTGGGGAGAACTTTCCAGCAAGGGCTGAGTTCTGCTACCTGCTCAGCCCCCCCCCCCCCCCCCCCACCCTCCCCCTTTTTTGTCTCGTCACCACCTACATCCTGTTGTTCATAGCAATCAACACAAGCCCTGGTTCCCCCCCCCCCCTTTCAGGATTAATACCTGGAGAGGGTTTCAGTTCACAAAAACATGTACATTTGGGGGGAGGGGACTGTTATAGCCCTTTCCCCCCGTGCTGCGGTCCAGGTCTGAATCACAGTCCGTGCTTTAAAAAAGCTAGGCAAATCTGAGCATGGATATTTCTGCATATCCTCTAGTGTGGCCTTTATTCTGTTTTTAAATGTGTAGCTGTATAGCTAAGATTTGGGTCTGCCAGGTCATGCTCTACTGATAAATATTTTGTATAAACCCCAAAAGATAACAAGTGTTTTAAAATCAGTCCCACCTGATGGCACCTTGTTACATTCAGGATTTTATCACCTCCTTCCAAGCAACTCAGGGGATGTACATGGTTCTCCCCACCCCCCCACCCCGTTTATCCTCACAACAATCCCATGAGGTAGGTTAGGCCGAGAGTGCCTGGCCCAAGGGAGCTTCATGGCTAGAGAGGATTTGGACCCAGATGTCCCTAGTTCTAGTCTAACCACTTTGCCATATGGGCTGATGCACCCCTGATGTCACTTTTCTGCTTTCATATAAAATTATTCTGACATCCATCTCTTGTCGAAACTTTACTAATAAAGATTCTTTGTTGTTTACAGCTATCGGATGTGTGATCCAGCTCAGAAACATATCCACAAATCGGCTCCATTGTTTGGGAGCTATTATGGAATTGATAAAGTTGGAACCATTAAAAAAGGAGATCCAGTATACAAGATAATCGAGTGTTAGAAAAAAGTATTTTAGAGCGAGAGGATGATTTACCCTAAGAGAATGTGTAGCCTATTCAGTAACTGTAATGTTAAAATAACGTAGGGTCTGGTCCAGCTAAATAAACACTTCTGTGTAAGTCCCATGAATTTTGTCCGAAGGGCAGACAAAAGGAAGTACTCCTTCACTCAACAAGTAATTAAATTGTGGAAGTCACTTTCAGTGGATGTAATGATGACTACAAGCATAAATGGCTTTAAAGGAAGATTTGACTGATTCATGGAGGAGAGGTCCATCAATAACTACTAGCCATGGCTACTAAAGGGAATCTCCATGTCCAGAGCCAGTAAATACCTGGCTACCCTTACTAGGAGACAATATCAGGAGGAGTATGCCATGGCCTCTTGTTCCATTTGTTGGTCCTTCAGGGTAACTGGCTGGCCACTGTATGAAGCAGGATGCTGTACTAGATGAACAACTAGTCTGATCCAGCAGGGAACCAGTTGGGTTCTCACATTCAATGGGACATTTAACTACTCCTTTGAAATCAGGTTTAGAAGTGCTTAACTTTGGCTGATACAGCCATGCATTCCTCAAGTATTTGTAATTTAATCTTAGACAGAACCACTAACAGGGCCAACATCAGGGACTGGTATGGTCAGGCACCTTCTGAGTATCTTGACCTTGCAGAAGGCCCACCACCAGACAGAGAGGACTGACTCCTCCATTCTCACAAGAGAATGGGAGAGCATCCTACAAGCCGCTGCAACCATATGGTAGCTGCAGTTTGCTTTTACCAGACACCTCCTCCAGTGGGCAGTGGGAGATTGCCCCAGAAGCCTCTGTGAATCAGCAGAGGTTTCAAAGTAAATCTCCCATTTCCTGGTTGGAAAGATATTGGAGGAAGTGGAGCAGTGTTTCTCTCTGGCTCCTTTTAGCCCTCCTGCAAAGAAGTGAGAGGGCGTGTGTGTGCATGCACGTGTATGATAGGAACAGGCGGAGTGGAGGAGGAGGAGGTGGTGGTGACGAGGAGAGCCAGGAATGTCGTATGGGCCAGGGGCCTCCAAATCCTTAGGATGGATCACAAAAGAAACAAAAGACGAAACCACCCCAAAGGATACAGATGACAACCATTCAACAATATGTTTTTATACTAGACTGTTCCTCCTGTTTAACCTTGATAACTTGACTAAACAGCCATTGACTTAAAATATATACTTTTTGAAAAGATAAGATTTTAAATAAGCCATTGTGATTTTGAGAAATAGGAAGCATTTAGCTTTCTGTGAAATCTACATAAATTTGGTTAAGTTTAAAGTATTTAAAACTTTCAATTAAAAATAAAGTTTTAAAACAAATGTTACCAGATACTTTTTTTTAACTCCTGAAATCTAAAGCCGCTTTCTCAAGAGATGCCTAAATTGTGATGCCTTTTTTTTTTGTCTGAAGACATGTGCTTTGCAGACGAAAGCAAACTCTTTAAATAAAACTTCGTTGGTTTTAAAGGTGCCACTGGACTCAAACGTTGTTCTAAATTGTGTTCCCTTTTAGTTTTTACTGTTGTGAATCATGTTGTGCAACTTGTTTATGGAAATTGGTATAGTCTCTTAAAATAAATAAATCACATGCATTAATAAATAAACTGCATCTGCACTTGACATCACAATGCACTTACATTATGTCTGGTCAACCCCCGTGCTCTAGACTTACCACAGACAATGTTTTCTACTGCAGGCAAGACCTGCTTTTTGGCAGGGAAGCAGGCTGCTGTGGGTTTCATTGATTAACGGGATAGATTGGAGCAGAGATCCATCAGTGGCTATTAGCCACAAGGTATAGATAGGAACTCTCGGTGTGGGGCAGGTGATGTACTGTATTCTTGGTGCCTGGGGGGGGGCAATAGTGGGAGGGCTTCGAGTGTCCTGGCCCCACTGGTGGACCTTATGTTCTTATATTAACAAAACAGGTCCCAGGACAGATCCTTGAGGCACTCCAGATATAAATTACCCGCCTACCATTTTTCTTCTCACATTGACACAGAGAGTACTCCATCTTTCCGTGTTGTACCTCTGAGGATGCCAGCCACAGCTGCTGGTGAAACGTCAGGTCCTACAATGCCAAGACCACGGCCATACAGCCTGGAAAGCTTACAACAGCTAATGAACTCCAGCTGTGAACGCCTTCGACAATATTTCACCTGTGCTAGTATACCAAGGGGGGGGGGGAAGGATGCACATGTTAATGTCAAAAAGTAATGTTAGAAATTCTCCAGGTGACACAGAAACTCAGGAGAAGCAGAATGTGGAGCTGAGTGATGCCATGGAAGAATAACCAAAGGGAGCATAGGCAGCTTGCTCGTCCCTGAAGTTTTTGGTTTTACAGGTTGGAAAGCTGCATGTTGCTGCCCCAGTCAGTGTTCCCTCTAAGCTGAGTTAGTGTGAGCTAGCTCACAGTTTTTTAGCCTCCGGCTCACACATTTTTGTCTTAGTTCAGGAAGGACGGCTCCAGAGCAAACTAATTGATGCAGCAGCCAAATCTCTTGCTCACAACTTTCATGCCAGTACTCACAAAGTAGAATTTTTGCTCCTAAGACTCCACAGCTTAGAGGGAACATTGGCCCCAGTGACCTGCAAAGTGCTTGACTAAAGTGCTTTGGGGGAAAGTGGTTATTGCTCGGAGGAGGAGTAACCCCCAAGCTTGGCACAAGGTGTGATAAGCAGATGTGGCTCAGGGGCAATGCTGGTATCGGGGGGGGGGCAGGATGAACAAATCAGAAGGGGGGGCCCCTTCAGCATCCTCACTACTCTTGCTCTGGCTTGTTTGCTTCGCTCAGCCCAGCATAGCCCTTTGGATCAAGCAGCTGCCGAGCACATGCTCTCTGGGTGCCCACCCTGTGACAGCTGCTGGGATCTTCTTTCTTCCACAGAGCTCTGGACAGCATCAGCTAGGAAGGCTCCTGGTAAACAACTGACTAATTGATCGCTCAGCTTTTCACATGGCTACCGCCATGCTGCACTCCCGTCTGTGTACCGTTCCCTGTCATCCTTATGCCATAACACTGGAGAAATGATGGCTCTTGCTTGGGAGATTCTTCTGTAGGCCTCCTTGCCAAGACCAAAGCTGTAATGGTTTGTTATGATGACCTTGTGTTATTCCATTAGGGCTCAATTGCTTGGGGGAAAAAAAGCCCAATGTGTGCATACTTTAGGAAAGTTTTCACCCTTTCCATTGACCTGACATCACAGTTTATACTAGAAAATGTATTAATGACAAAGTAGTGTTTTCATGTCAGGAGGACCAGCTTTAACAGCTATAATCTGCCCTTAGTCGTCATAAATATAAATGTATTGGTAAAACAGATCTTGTTAATGCAGCCAAGATAAATGTGAGGCTATATTTCAAGCCAGTGGAAGCACACAGAGCTGGTGTGTGTGAATGTGAGAGTCAGCTGAAATATACTATTGTCAAATGGCTGTTAAAATGGCCCCCCCCCCCCCCAGTGTTGCTAGTTTATCTTGTGGTAGCATAATGAAGTACTTCTCTGCCCGAGACCTAAGAGAGCCACTGCCACTCACAGTAGACATTATATATCTAACAGCAAAGTCTGCCCCCCATATGCAGATATCTAAATCTGTGGATTGGGGCCACAAATGCTAAACAGACTTTTCTGCAAACTTGAGGGGAACCCCCCCCCCAGGTTTGCAGAAAAATCTGAAACTTTTTTAAAAATACATTGGGGGTTTAAAATCCCTCCACATTAAAAAAAAAAAGTATTTGCATTTTAAAGCCATACCTGGCTTGGGACCAGGATGTCTGAAAGACTGTCTTGTCCCATATGTTCCTGCCTGGGAACTAAGATAATTGGGAGAGGACCTCTTGACTGTCCTATCGACTGAAGAAGCAAGTATGGTGGGTACATGAGAGAGGGCCTTTTCAGTGGCAGCCCCATGATTATGGAACAATCCCCCCCAGGGAGGTGGCCCCTGGCCCCCTTACTTTCAGTCTTTAGAAGGCAGCTGAAGAGAACTTTATTCATGAAGGCATTTGATGGGTTCTTTGCCTGCTGGCTGTTTTACATTATTGATGTAAACTAATGGTTTTCATGTATTTAATCGCATTGTATTAGCGTTGTATTGTATTCATTGTATTGCAGCGTTCCGTGCGCCTTGGTGTTTAGTCATGCCGGCCACATGACCACGGAAACGTCTTCGGACAGTGCTGGCTCTTCGGCTTTGAAACGGAGATGAGCACCGCAACCCTAGAGTCGGATTCGACTGGCTTTCGAGCAAGGGAACCTTTACCTTTACCTTTTATTGTTATTTACATTGAAAGCTGATTAGCGTTCCTATGAGGTAGAAAGGCAGCTAATAAATGCTTTAAATAAATAAAAGTATGGTGTAGTGGACTGCTGGACTAGTCCACTAGTCTCCACTTTGCCTTGGAACTCACTGGGTGACTTTGGGCCACTCATTGGCTCTCAGATGGAGCTGCCTCACAGGACTGTTGTGAGGATAAAATCGGGGTGGGGGATAAAAATGTGCTAAATAAATTCTGTATTTTGGATGCATACGAGCACACATCAAGTGCTTCTACGCACAAAACTCAGGCATGAGAGATTGTACTATTCAAGTTGGATTGGCCATTATAAGTACTTTATAGCTGTAGTCACAGTGGGCTGATCATGGTGTAACTAAGAGATTGTTGGGCAAATAGATCACTTTTACTTTCTGCTCTGTATTTTATCAGCTAACACAGAAGAAAGGGCAGTGTCCCACTCAGCCATCACCAGTAAGGATTTGTTGAAGCACGCATTACCATGCAACAAAGACTAATCGAGTTGGCTCTTGCCAGCCAAATGAACCAATTTCCAAACTAAGACTTAAATTCAGAGCATCTGGGTTGTGGGGTGCAAGACCTTCTGATCGGAAGCCGCCTCTGGTCTGGGCTGCATTGTTACGATTTTGTTGATCATCAGCTGTCATGCCAGAAGCTTTGTGTAAGCTCAGCAGGGGTTCACATTTGCAGCTGCAGTGTGGGGGTGGGGTGGCTGCTGATTGAGAAATAGCTTGAGCATGCCATGAATGCACTGCTGTACCACAGTGCAATGCACATGGCTTAATGCTAGAAGCGCACTGAGATGTGATCTTGAGCGTTTTCCAGTAGCATTTGGATACCTTGGTTACGTAGGCTTAAGCTAAGGTAAAGGTCTTTTTATTTGTTTGTTTGACTTTTATCCCGCCCTTCCGCTTACAACATCAATAAAACCAATATACATAAAAACACGAACATATAAAACAGTTTAACTATAAATACAATAAATATAAATAAAACGGCTCAATATATATTATGTCTAAACTTTTACCACAGTGTAATCACTACCATTTACATGCCTTAGCGGGTCGGCAAGGCTCAGCTGGCATGACATCAGTCTAACTGATATGCCTGGCGGAAAAGCTCCATCTTCACGGCCCTGCAAAATTGCTGGAGATCTCGCAGGACCTGGATCTTGCTAGGGAGCTCATTCCAATATAGTGGTACAGCCAAGGAAAATGCCCTGGACCTAGTTGTTGTCAGCCTGGTCTCTTTAGGGCCAGGAAGGGTCAGGCGGTGTTGTGTCCCAGATCGCAGTGCTCTCTGGGGGACATGCGGGGAAAGGCAGTCCCTCAGGTAGACAAGTCCCTGACCATATAGGGCTTTAAAGGTCAAAACCAGCACCTTGAAGCGGATCTGGAATGCTATTGGCAGCCAGTGCAGCGACGTTAGCACAGGCTGGATGTGCTCCCACATAGGGAGACCCATCAGCAGCCTGGCCACCGCATTTTGCACCAGCTGCAGCTTCCGGAGTTGCCCCAAGGGCAGCCCCATGTAGAGAGCATTACAGTAGTCCAACCTCGAGGTGACCATAGCGTGGGTCACTGACGCCAGATCTTTGCGTTTGAGGAAAGGAACCAACTGCCTGATCAGCTGAAGACGGTAAAAGGCTGCCTTGGCGGTGGCTGCTACCTGGGCCTCCATTGTTAAGGAGGCATCCAGGAGCACTCCCAGACTCATATGCAGTACTTCAGTGAGTCTACAAAAAGTTTCACATGCAATGGGTGAGTTGAAAATTCAGCATCAACAGTGTCTCAAGATTGGTACCCAGCATAGGAGTGGCAAGATCACTTCCAAGAGACTTGATAGCTAAGAAGCTATTTCATACTTTGCTTTTTAGATCTGCAACAGACTGTCATACCTTAGTAGAAAGGATCCTTGCATCGATGCATTATATCAATAAAAGCAACGTGTAGTAATTTAAGAGATTGTCTCCATAAGTAACCATCAGCCCATAATTAGACCAGCCTCTTTGTCATGACTTATCCTTGCCTCCAGTTCCTTATCATAACCTTACATTAGAACATAAGAACATAAGAGAAGCCAATGTTAGATCAGGCCAATGGCCCATCTAGTCCAACACTCTGTCACACAGTGGCCAAAAATACCAGGTGCCATCAGGAGGTCCATCAGTGGGG